ATTCCCGTTGTTCTGATTGTTCCGCATTCCCGGTGGTTGAATCTGCTTATCCAGGTAGCTTATCCAGATCTGCTTATCTGTTTATCCAGAATGCTGATCTACTTATCCAGATCTGCTTATCCAAAATCTGCTTATCTCTTGTTTTTGTGTGTGTGTGTTTTTTTTTTGCTGTTTCTTTTTTTTCAGACTTTATTATGTTTCTTTTCAATATTTATGTAATATTGTACTTTCTCAAAAAGTTTTTTCTTTTCTTCTCCATAGCAGCCTGTATTCGTAAGAAGTGATGTGCCAGAAGTTAGTGGGATACAGTTGTATTGTAAGGGTCATTAGAAGGCCGACTGAAAAATGGACGGTCCAAGTGTGGCGGCCGAACTGGATTAAATTGATAAAAATTTTTTGGCCATTGGTAGGCCGGACTTCCTGAAGCAACGGCCAGTAACAACCATGTGAAATACGGCACGGTCAGAATCCTTAAATTTTAATGTGGGGGGTGGAATTAGTTAATGGATTGTAATGGGGAGATATTGCGTTTGTTAATGTGGCTCAAATCGTAAAATTTGGTAGGCCGAATTTTCTGAAGTAATAGCCAGTCCCAACCATGTGGAATACGACTCGATGAAAAGTCATGTAAAGAAGAATATGTAAAAGTTGGTCTACCTCTGTTTCATCCCTTAGCTGTAAAAACAGACAGTATAAGATGTGGGTAAGAGTGGAGAGTACAGCCGCCTAGCGCCACCACGTGGAAATTCAAGTACCAAGGTGTCTGGAAAAAAAAGAACGGAGATAGAAAGTGGGAAGAAAGAAGAAAAAAACTTAGTCATTTCGCTTTTGATACCGAGATGCTCCGAACTACATTCATTATAAGTTGTACTGCAAAAATTAGTTGGCATTGTTTGCTGTGATTACCATTCTCTCCAAAAACATTACTCCTGTTTATATTTTAATAAAAAAGAGGTATTTTTTATACGAATGCTTTTTTTTGCTGCAGGTTTTAATTACGGGTCCAGCGGATACTCCTTATATGAATGGTTGTTTCGAATTTGATGTTTGGTTCCCGAATGATTATCCGACCTCGCCAATGCATGTGAATCTGGAAACTACGGGCAATCATACTGTTAGTTTGGCGATCATTGCTTAAATAATAGGTTTTATGATCGCGCATTGATGTCGTAAATTGATAGTAATTGGGGCGCAAAAATTTAATTAATTGATGATACCTTCCGTATAACAGTGATATTTTAGTTTTGATAGTTGTATTGGTAGCGTAGACTTGAAATTTATACTGCAGCTTTGTTGGTTATACTGATATTCGTAAGTTTAATTTATATGCTGTTGCTATGAGCTTAATACTTATGTTTTTAATAGTCAGCGAATTGTTAAATTTCTAGAAATACGGAAAAAAAATTTTTTTTTGCAGGTTCGCTTCAACCCGAATTTGTATAATGATGGGAAAGTATGTCTGTCAGTGTTGAACACATGGCACGGCCGACCCGAGGAACGATGGAATCCAGAAACAAGCAGTTTGTTGCAGGTATTTTCGTTCAAAAACTTCTGTTTGTAGCATTTGAGAGTGCAAAATACCTGCTTTTATTCGTTCAGTAGTAAATGCGAATCTGATTGCT